TCGGGAATTTCCCTAATCGTGTTCCTGTCGTTCTTGGTCTGCTGCCTGATTTTTCTTTATGATTCGACCATTAGATGTAATACGGAATTGGTTACCGTGGGGTAGCTCATTGAGCAGCGTACGAGCGTTCAGTTCAATCAGCCTCTCTGTATGTGATTTACTTGATCGAATAAACACAGTTTTATAATCCTCTACATCCCGGAGTTTACGTTTTTCACGTAAAATGGCTATCTTTTCATTCAGCGATGAGACTGCAATCTTAACGAGACCCGGTTTTCCTCGTGCTCTACTATTAAGACGGGTAGCGGCCAGTACGTTTGCACTCTCATCAAGATGATTTATTAGATCGCGAGCAACTTGAAGTATGTTCTCACTTTCGTCAAACTTTACATTCGTTGCTATAACTGTAAGATCTGGGTCATCCAGAGGATTCGCATTGTTTACATGCCAAGGTGAATGCGACGACTGATCAGCTGTGTGAGAGTGTTCGAGTTTCTAACAAAGAGTCAATAGACTGTGACAATGATTCTATTTCTTTTGTGTGTACTGCAAGTTCTAGGTCAATGTCACTTTTTATAGCTTTAAATTTTTCATCGATGTTGGCCATGAAATCATTACGAAATTTATCAAGCTTACTCTCTAACATCGATTGCAATGTAATCTGACCTTTCTGCAGCCTTTCTACTGTCTGAGCAATAACTGTCATACGATCTAACATTTCGGAAGATTCACTCTGATGACCATTCATGCTATCTTGGTCAGACATTTTGGTAGTCTTGGACAAAGGCTTGGGTGTTTTACCATCAGAAGAAAGTCGGCGTTTATTTTCACCACTCATACTGATTTCATTGTTTCTAATTGTTCACAATTTCAAGCATATACTTACAACTACTCTGCTTAAGATCAGAAACTAAGCAAATAGTCACATTTTCACCACCACTGAAAAAGCACCAGCCATTAGCCTCACGCATGCGCAATGATCAAGAATATAAGAAAAAAGCTTTTAGCTTCTGTGAAAAGAAAGCTACGGAGCATGTCACGTGACCGCCTGGATCACGTGATTTGCGCATGGGCAGAACAAAGGCAGATGTGAATTAACATCGAGGAGTACTATTTTAAAAAATAATGAACACTGAAACCTAATTTTATTCTTTTATGGAAGTAATTCAATTAGTTCGTGAACTTTTTAATCACACCTCGTAAGTATACTTACGAGTGCCATTTTTTAAAAAAAAAAAAAAAAAAAAGCAGCTATGATATCAAAAGTCTGAACTTTAAAATTTTCGTGGAGAATGGTTGTATAAATTGTTGAATAGTCTTACATTTTGATGTTATTGATTTTGGGAAAGATTTGTGATTTCAAATTTTCTAAAAGTTACTTGCAATTTTTAAGTATCTGATTTACGCCACTTCTAAAATATATTGTTAAACATGACCCTGAAGTTCTCCTTTACTGCTGTAAATATTAAAGTGAGGAGTAAAGAGGGGTTTGGTAGAACATTTACTGGAACATTTACTGAAACTAACGAACAGATCGATCTCAAAAAGTCAATGAACAATACAAGTCTGTGAACAGGGTAAATGGGGGTAAGCATCCCCTGTTGAGTGGTCACACCCGCCGTGAGCCCTATGTATTGATGAGGTAGATGGAACATTCAAAGTCAAATTCAGTATAAAAACAGAGACCTAACAATTGGTATGATACACATCAGCCACAATGATAGGTTTTATTTGCTAACAAAGTCATTATAACGACCATAGAAGTTTCGAAATGCCAACTTTAAACGAGATTGTTGAAATCCGTGTAACATCAACTTATCTGTCAGTAGTCTGCCTCGGTTTAAGAATTTATCGTACTCGGAGCATTGCTCTTGAGTATCGAACTGGGAGATATGATAGCGGGAAATTACTACATGCTGACGGTGGAAAAGCTGACGTCATCTCGTTTGTCATACAGTTTAGTTGTGAGTTGGCCCTTGTCGTCTTTAGTCATTAAAACATCGAAAATTGAAACGGATGTGAAAGACTCTATGGTGTCTTTAAATTGAAGTTCACTGTGATATATCTAAACAATGTATAGATGGAAGTAACTATTGATAATTAATAAAATTAAATAAATTCTGCTTCATAGGAATTTAAAAACAGGTCGGCTATTAAGGAGCATAATTAACTCTCGATTTACAACTACGTTTACGTTTATTGAATTAATTCAACATTTATTATTGAATTAATTCAACATTTTTTATTGAATGCAAAGAAGAGTGGAATAGTAAATTATTAATTATTTTAATAGTAATTTATTAAATATTTTAATACATGTACCAGTGCCAAATAGTTAATTGTCCTTTATTATAACTCTTTATAAGAGTGGTAGACGATGTTATCCATTGGAATTAGAATTTAAAACATTATCGGTTTTCAGATCCCCATGGATATGGATAAATGATCTTGAATCTTTCCGTAGTTTTAGCTCATGTAAAATTTAGCACTTAAGATAGAGTGCAATTCTGTAGTTTAATTCTTTTTGAAATTGGTATTAAAATGAACATTTTCGCTTTTATGTTGTTGTCTGTAGACATATACATCCCCCACCCAGTACGTAAAACAAAAGCTTGGGTATGAATTAGAATTGTTATATATGTATAACAATCCATAAACCATATAAAGAGGTTCTATTTTTTTTATAGGGAATAAACATGTTTTAAGATACTTTCCGTTTTCCCTTGATTTTTACAGTGAATTACACATGTTTTACCAAAATTATAGAATTGTCTTTCTTTGTTTTGCTACATAAATTATATTTTGTGAAAATTCATATGAGTGTCTTTATCAATATAAACATATTTAAAATTCTAAATTTCAAAAAGAGGCACAAGGGCCTTAACGGTCAACTGAGTATATCACAACAATTTAGAGGATCCATAGAGTATAAAATGAACTGAAAGTGAAGCTTTGTTGACCAAAAGCAAGAAAAATAGGGTGATCAGGATCAACAAAATAATTAGTCTAGTATTCATTAACAGTTCATAAATTAGGTTCTAATCTGTTCCCCATTTATCACTTTCACCATATAGTACATTAACAAATTATCGGTGCTTCTGTACCATTTTTATTCCTTGTTGAAATTTTTTACATTGGCCTCTCTTGGTCTTTGATGAACATTTAATAAGACAAGTTATTTTTGTCTCATTTTTATTTATCTATTACTTACAAGTCCACCTGATCATTAAAAGTATGGAAGTACTTTTTGTTTTATACAATAAAAATTCTTCCATAATTCTCACATTCTATTAACCTTTCAAGTATATCATTTGCAATGATTAATTATCAAAAGTAAATGGCAAAGGGAAATAACTCCTCTCAGTAGAATACCAATTAATAGAGCCTTGGCCAGGACCAGAACACTTGACCAAATGGTCCAGATGTTCAAAAATCTGGTAAAAATACCCTTCCTTATTAAAACTTTTACTCTTTTTGCCTCTGATATGCCAGGTGCAGAGAAGATTTTTAAAGAAATAATGCATTTTTATTACAGATTCACTATATTATCAATAGAGCCCCCCCCCCCTCCCTCCCCACCGAGAAACACCAGAACCACTCACCCTGGGACCAGAGGTTTGCTCATCATAAGTAATCACTTTGCTTATCTGCGTAACACTAAGGAGCCAACAGGATTATTTGATAGAATTAATGCATTTTCACTATATTATCAAGAGCCCACCCTTATACCAGCACATCTGACCCAGGGGTCATGCAATTCACTATTCTGGAAGAAGCATTCTTGCTTATCATAACCATATACTTAGCTTCTTTTCTTTTTAACCAGAAGCAGAAAAGAATAGTTTCAAAGAAATTTTGCTTTATCACTACATAATCAATAGAACCCCCCTTTTTCACAAGAACCCTTGATCCTGGGGCCATGAAATTCACAATTTTGGAAGGGGCATCCTTGCATATCATTACAATGTACTTTGTACAAGTTTGTTTAAATAATACCCAGGAGTAGAGAAGAAGATTTTCAAAGAAATAATGCACTTTCACTATATGATCTATATAGCCCCCCCCCCCCTCCCTAGCACCAGGACCCCTGACCCTGGGGCCATGGATTTCACAATTTTGGTAGAGTCACTCTTACTTATCATAACTATGTATTTAATTTGTTTCAATAATACCCAGGAGTAGAGAAGATTTTCAAAGAAATAATGCACTTTCACTATATGATCTATATAGCCCCGCCCTAGCACGAGAACCCTTGACCCTGGGGCCATGAATTTCACAAATTTGGTAGAGTCACTCTTGCTTATCATAACTATGTATTCAATTTGTTTCAATAATACCCAAGAGTAGAGAAGAAGATTTTCAAAGAAATAATGCACTTTCAATATATGATCTATATAGCCTCACCCTAGCACCAGACCCCTGACCCTGGGGCCATGAATTTCACAATTTTGGTAGAGTCACTCTTGCTTATCATAACTATGTTTTCAATTTGTTTCAATAATACCCAGGAGTAGAGAAGAAGATTTTCAAAGAAATAATGCACTTTTCACTATATGATCTATATAGCCCCACCCTAGCACCAGAACCCCTGACCCTGGGGCCATGAATTTCACAATTTTGGTAGAGGGCTCAATGCTAATTACAATCATGCCAACAGTTTGACTGCTTGATGTCCAGGAGTAAAGAAGAAGATTTTTAAAGATTGCATTAATTTTGGTGGTTTTAGCCACACTTCTCACGCCCCAGGGGGGCAGGGGCCATGAAATTCACAAATTTTGTTCCCCTTCACACACAGATGCCATATGCTAAAATTGGCTGAAATTGGTTCAGCGGTTTCAGAGGAGAAGCTGAAAATGTTCAAATGTTAACACACGACGCACGACGACGGACGAAAACAGATAGCAATAGGTCACCTGAGTGACTCAGATGATCTAAAAATTGACTTGAAGAAAGGCGGAAGAACAATACTTTCTACAGTTTCCAAAAAAAATCAGACTCACCATTTTGACATTCCTGCCCCTCCACCCCGTCATTGCACCCATTAAGACACGTGCCGTTGACATGGTGACAGGTTTCTCCGTCACTACAGTTACCACACAAATAAGTACACTCAAGTCCATATGTTCCGTCATCACAAGCTATGAATTAGAGACAGTGAGACAAATTATGATGGATTGATGTTTTAAATCCACTGGCAAAGTTATAAGAGAAGACAGAATGATATTAGTTGAATTATACAATCACTTAGTCAAGTATCCTTCTTGCAATCTGTCAATGTTTAATCTGTGCTAAATGTAAAATGTTTTATAATTCACTTACTTTGATTACACAGAGGACCTTTATATCCCGGCATACAACTCAGGCAATATCCTGTGGTGATGTTACATCTTGACTCCTGACAGTTCTGGGGACATGATTGGTTACAATATTCTCCGTTATATCCTTGGTTAGGGCATCCTGTTTAAAGTCAATTAAATATTGAAACAATATGTTATTTTCAATTAATGAGAAAACGAAGTCATTTAACACTCGTAATTGGAATTTCCTGTCTTCAAATCACTAAGAAGGTTTTCAACTTACCATAAACTTCCAATTCACACAATTCACTGTATACATATTGAGAGTAATAACTTGGATACGTCACGCCCGCCCTCCTCTCGTTGTAGTATATAACATAACGTCCATGTACAGGACAGCTTATTGTCTGGTTCTCTGTTGGTGTACCGTCTACTGTTTGTATCTCATGGAAACAAAGATAGCCATCGTCCTTAAGAGTGGTATTAGAAACGTAGAGGAAAAATCCAGCAAATCGACCGTAGTAGGCCCCAGGACCTAAAATGAAATTTAATAGCTATATGTGAAAAGGCTTTTGATTTAATAAAACTTGCAACGGAATTCTATGTTCTTGTTTAATCTTTATGTAATGAAATCAAAAAGACAAAATGTCATTTTTCAGATAAAATATTCTGTTCTTTTTCCTGTCTGATACGAACAGAGATAAATATTTTAAATTAACGGAGTTTAAATATGTAAAAAAAAAAAAAAAATAAATTGACCTTTGCATAGGAATAGGAACAAAAATTGGATGCCTGGACTGATATATATTTTTGGACCTATATATTTTGTAAATGATAGAAATATCAAATTACTAAATTATTAAGCAATTGTAGACTTTAACGATGTTCACTATTCTACCCGTTTGCTGTCATCATAAATCTGTACAAATTTCCAACGCTTTGTTGGACATAATTGTGAAACCTTGAATAAAAATTAAAATCTGGACGGTTAATATTCATTTCACTTTATAAAAACATGGTTTAGTTGTTATTTCTTAGAATTTTTTAAGAAATTTGTTTGTATCATCTGTCCTTAAGACGTATTTTCTGTATAAAAATATTACCAAAGCTTAAAGTAAAACATTTAAATGCCCAATTTAATAAATGAATACAATGTTAAATGTAAATGTGAAATGCAGCCATTCCAAAAAAATGCATCAATATAACGCTTACCCTTTTTGGAATTGAAAAAAAAGATGTTTTTTCTTTTTGTTTTTGTTTTTGTTATTTATTTTTTTTTTTTGGCTTGCATTTGTAAATTTAATAACTCAGAAAAAAAAAGTTAACGGGTATGCGGTATTTGACCATAGAAAAAAACATGAAAAGGAGTCGTATGATGTCTATAGTATGTTCCTCTGAAGAGATTTTTTAAAAGATAAAAACAATTTAAAAATTGTTGTTTCTTTAAGTTAAAAAAAGAAGATGCCGTTGGTTCAATAAATACAAAACTGTCTTCTTTCGTGGCCACTGTGTTGACTACTACTGTACGTGTACAGAAATTTGCGTTTTCAAAATTTAGCGCAATTAATGGGTTTGGAGTAGTTGGCGTAATCATGAAATATGAAGCCCGCTTTATTAAATACACATACAGTATTCACTCCACGACTATTGCAAGTTTGTACCTTTTGTTTCTAACTGTGGTGGGCCGGACAGGGACTCCGTAGCACCGGGTGACTACGTTTATTATATATTTCACGCTATCTACGAGAGAGGCATGACATCGCTGTTACAACCTCACTAACCACCATTGGCTACCACCAATTTCATGTCAGTGCCTAAACCGTGCATAATCGGCTTTGGAAAGTTGGCCACTTGAGGGTATTAAAAAATTCGACTGCAATAGGCAAAATGGAATACTGCACTTACTCGTGCATATTAAGAAAAAGTTTAGTTTACATATGAAAATGATGAGTGGCACATTACCAATTTTGTGCATATTAAGAAAAAGTTTAGTTTACATATGAAAATGATGAGTGGCACATTACCAATTTTGTCTAGTGAATGCATTCTTAGACTTTTTTCTCTGGTTCTCAGTCAAGCACTGTGTATATGTAGTAGCTTACTTCTGCTTATCATATAAAATTCAAACCAATATATATATGCCTTTTTTGAAAATCATCATTAAAAAATCTATGAATTGATGTCAAGTATGCATTAAATGTACATCTTGATGTTTGTAATTCTGTTAAAAATATATATCATCATTTAAATATAGTGAGTATAAGTACTATGTCTTATTGAAAACTCATTTCATGACCATGACCGTTTTAAGTTTTTACGTTTCGTGGTTTTTTTTCACTTGGTATCGAGTCAAGTGTTTATAATTCAATCACACTGTCTATAGTTACAGTTATTTGTTTAAATATCAGATAAAAGAATAATTCAACTTTGCATGCCGTCTGTTGAGATGGTACAACTCAAATCTCATTATATTTTTTTCTCCAGAAAAATGACGTTTTTATTTTATTTAAATAAAACATACAATTTAAATTGTATTTAAAATGTGTCGGCATTATTCTGTATGTAATAGTGCCATAATAATAATAATAATAATAATAATAATGAGTAGAAATATTTTAAATTGATTTCAAACTAACTAGGTGCATTATCAGTCCTGTAGTAGATGTTGATATAACTGATGCTGACCACTCTCTCTAGATCTACTCTCCACTCTGCTGTCTGTTGTCCATCTGATATTGTACACTGATTTCCTCCTGCTGAGCGGTCAGAAAAGTGTCCATCCACTGCCTTCGCTGCTCCCCATTCTATTTCCGTACCTTGATAATTGTTCTTCTGCCAGGCCGGTTTCCCGAGAGCTAAATTGACTTATGAACAGAATAAAGGACCTATTTTTAAACTGCATAGATTTATCCTTGGGTATTGATAAGTACACATTAATCAGATTTCACCTGTGTTCCATCATTGAAGGCTGCTCTCCTGCCAGGCAGGATCTCCCTAATGCTAAATTTATTGGTGCATAATACAAAAAATGCGCAGTAAATATGATTTTTCTCATAAACCAATATTCCTTGCAAATTCTTCAAGAATATTTTTTGTCTTTGTTTGTAAAATTTGTGAATGAAAATTAAGTATGAAAAGAAACGATAAATAAACAGCGTATTGTAAACCATATCAATATAAATTTTTGTTTTTCAAAATCTTTTCTCCATATTTGACTTTAAAATTTTAAATATTTCAATCTTAATTCTAGCTTTCTTTATTTATTTTGCTTACCAGTTACGTTTTAATCTATACTACTATATAAAAATAATAGACTCGAATTTTTGGCCTTTAATACCGATAAATCGGAAGAGTACTGTCTTTTGTTTGATATATTTTAAACATCATTGGTACTTGAAGATTACCAATTTGTTTTTATTTTTTCTCAATTAAGCTTCGCTTATTAATAATCAACGAAAATTCCTCAAAAAATTCCGGAAATCATCTGGGTTTTTTGGATTTTACAATCTTGCGCGTGCGCATTACATTCACGCTAAATCACGGTGTTCAAATCGATCTCACTTGCAGAGTTGTCGTTCTTTCTCTCTCATACACGAATGTATGAGCCGTTGGTGGAGAGTGTGTTCAAATCAGAGAAGACAAAAGTAAATACTAAGTAGATATATATTTTTTATTGTATAATTTCTCTAATAAGAAATCAGTAATATATATGAACAGAATATATAGCAAATTTCCAATGAAAATTTACACATATTTGTCATGGGGTCGGAACCGGGGGGGGGGGGGGCTAGGGGGGCTTAGCCCCCCTTTTTTTGGAAAGATAGACATAATATAGGCATTGAAAATTGGGGCTTACCTTTTTTCGTTGGTATAGCCCCCCCCAACTTTCAAATAGCCACCCCACTTTCAATTTGCTTCTGACGCCTATATTTGTATTATCGTAATCGTTTCTGAGTTTATATCGATACAAATATGATATTGTGGCCACGTGGGTAATCATTCGCCATCTCGGAGATACATTTATTATATGTTATTTATATCTCTGGCCATCTCAACGGAGGCAAAAAGCTCATGATCGTAGGAGCAACATTAATGTAACTACCCAATTTATTTTATCCCTCCTTTCTTTTATGCTTTTTTTGAGGGGAACTGAAAGGGGGGGGGGTTACAACTCCAGTTAGAATCACATCTTAATGAAGTAGGCATTCTTTTTCCGCCAAAAATTACAATAATAACTACTATATAAAAATTATAGACTCGAATTTTTGGCCTTTAATACCGATAAATCGGAAGAATACTGTCTTTTGTTTTATATATTTTAAACATCATTGGTAGTTGAAGATTACCAATTTGTTTTTATTTTTTCTCAATTAAGCTTCTATTTTTATTACTTTTTCTATGTACTAATTCAAGGATATTACATTAATTTTTATCAAAACAGACAGTCTTTTACAGATTATATACCTGTCTATTACTTGTGTATATATAAAGTATATGTATTAGCCGTGCTTAACTCTTTTATTGTTGAGGTCATATTTTGAACAAGTTGAGACCTGCAGTGTTAAAATTGTTACAAAATTTTTTACACCTTTACTTTAATAACTGATTGTGTAAAAATACCAGCTTAGCACATTTCTTCATTTCATTACTTTGCTTGATATGTATCAGAGGTGTGCTCAACTCTTTGCTGTTGTCATATTTTCAATGAACATCCATAATTTCTTTTATTAAATTTGTTTGGAAGGGTGAAATTTATATAAGCTCCGGCGTGATTCGAACTCAAGACTTGATTTATAGCTAACTGGTGGTCAAACCCATTCTACGCTACGCCGTTACGCAACAATTAAAAAAAAAACAAAACAAAACAAAACAAAACAACAAAAAAAAAAACAAAAAACAAAAAAAAAGAATTATATTAACATTCATTGTTTATTTAAAAAATACCTTACAATATGAATGTGTCGATGTATCTATTTTGTAAATGTCCGATATGCACATGGATGCATTCATAACAATGTCAACCCGTGCACGCACGGGTCAAAGTCTAGTATTATCTAAAAACAACTGTATATAGCTTTTTTTATGTTATAGACATGTTAGACATTATGTATAGAATTCATAAATGTAATGCTTTAAAATATATATATGTACACCTTTATCCGTTATTGAAAGAAAAAAATAAGATATCTCTAAATCTTACCGTAAGCCTGAGCAAGTGTCAAACACGGAAGTAACTGAACAATGACTAAAATCATTGTAACATTGCTCTGCTCTGAAATTTGAATTATCTCTTAAAGGCAACACATAATATTACAACAGTGTAGTGCAATGGTACATTCAGCATTTTAATATATGTGAATTGATGTTTACAAGTTTATTTTCTTTCTTTACACAGGTACTTCTAGATGACTCAAAATTCGATCACTGTTCACGATAGCTCAGTCGGTAGAGCGCTCGCTTCGTGATTGGGAGGTCGTGAGTTCGAATCTCGGACACGACTGACCCAAGTCGATAAAAAATGGGTAGCAACTGTTCCTTCGCCATGCGCTCAGCACTTTGAAGTGAAAGTTGCGGGTCCTTCGGATGAGACCATAAAAACCGAGGCCCCGTGTCACAGCAGGCGTTGGCACGATAAAGATCCCTCACTGCTCGATCAAAATTCGATCACTTGAAGTTCCTGGCCCGGAGTGCCGAGTAAAGGTCAAAATTTGAAGCCCTTCACCGGTATATGGTGACGTTTCTATGTGAGTGAAAAATTCTCGAATGGGACGTTAAACAACATACAATCAATCAAAATTCGATCACTTAAAGTTCCTGGCCCCAGGATCATGAAAGATACTTAGATTCAAGTCAAATTTTCAATGGACTGTAAAAGATTTATTAATTATTGAATTAATCGATAAATTAGCAGGTAACAAAACTTTTGTGAGGCAATATTGAGACATGATTTAGTTTTTGTCTGCAACAGCCTCCCTTACTAATGAAGTAGGTGAAAATACCTAACACTGATCGATCTTTAAAAAAAATACTACACACAATTCCTATCTGTAAACAGGGCATAAATCATGCCCCCCGGAAATTCCAGAGGTGGGAACAGGGTTGTATGCATGAAATTCTTAAGTCCTTAAGAACACTGAGTGTACTACAACTCAAAAACTGATCAATGTTGTATTATGTATATAGTAGTTGGGTACAGCAGGTAAAATGGTCATATTGGGTCAAGGTGGAAAAAGCATTGTTATGTTTGTTTTTGTTTATCAGTGGGTTCTCTCGCCCCACGTGCACTTGTGAATAACAATACCTTTAATATATACATAATATACGTAATACACACGTAATGCACATAATTTAATATACGTAATACACAGGGAGGACCGGGTTCGAATCTCGTATGCAGTGCCGCGTCAAACCTAAGATGTAAACAGGTAGTGACTGTTCCTTTGCCAAGCGCCCAGCACCAGAAGTGAAGGTCACGGGTCTTTCGGATTAGACCTTAAAAACGGAGGTCCCGTGTCAAAATAGGTGTTGGCACAATAAAGAACCCTCATTATTCAAAGGCCCTAAGTGCCGAGTATAGGTCTAATTCTATACAACACTCGAGAAAAAGGGCCGGGGAAGAAGAAGGAGAAAAAGATGAAACAGCGCTCATAATTCATTTGGAGAACATACTTTTTTTTACTGCTTAGCAATAATCCATTTTTGCCTTTGATAAATGATCGTTCCGTATAGAAAATATTTTTCTCCGCCTCAAGATCGTTAAAAATGTTTTAAAAAGTTATTCTGAAAGAAAACGTAACTCCATTTTATTAAAGGGATTGCAAGTGTTACTTTGCTAAATAATTAAACGTTTCTCTGTCTAGTAAAATGAACTCGCACCAATTATATAACACCAATTCCTGCTCACATTGCGTACTATTATTGGATAATAAAAGCATATATATTATCGTACGTATTAATTACATTTGATGCTTTAATAGTGGGAGCAAATATTTGTGTGGAAGATATTTAATTCAATTTTTATATGATTTTTCTGTGTTCTGTATTTCCTTAAAAAAACATACGAATACCAATACTCATACTAATTAATATAATCCTTCTTCCACCATATTGTGCTCTCGTATGACTGTCTTGTATTCAGGCTTTCCAAAAGATAATGTTACCGTTATCATCTCACACTGTGGGTGTGACCGGTCGGCGGGGGATGCTCACTACTCCATGGCACCTGATCCCACCTCTGATGTTTTCGAGGTCCGTGTTTGCTCCGCTCCAAAATCTGTATTGTTTAATGGACCTTGATCTTGAATACTGTTCGTTATCGCCATACATTTCATCTGAAATGATTGCACTTTTTGACAAATGGCTTAGCTCAAAGAATAAACATTATATACAAATTAACACAGGTTAATTCCAATAGGATAATCTTAAAACATGACCGACAGGATAAATATACATAAAATTACATCCCATACAATGACTCCAAATATCCACAGTGAACAATTATTTTAACTTTTCAGAACTGAATCTTTGACAGAAATAACAAACGTACCTTAAATATTTTTCTTTCATAAGCAATCCATCTGACAGTAAGCGAAAAAGTAAGATTTTATTAACCCTTAGACAATCTAGCCTTTTGAAAGGTATACTTCACTCCAACATCTATAGGTTAAGACAAGATCTGCAATCTAGACAAGGTCTGAATGGGATTCAAATATTATTTACATGTAGCTTTATAAAACAGATGTTTAGTAAATATGCAGGAAGAAATTTATTTTATTCCTCTATCTCCTGACCAATCCTGTTTAGCTCTCAGTACTTAGGTACTGGAATCAATGGATTTTGAGTACAGTGTGTTTAATTTTTTTTCCGTAAAAATGTTAAAAATGATTTATCTTGTTTGTTTATCCATTCTTCGTTAAATTAATTATATATCACTTTATATCAGTGCCCCACCTAGATAAATAAAATTGAATTTTATTAACCCGCATTTGAAAAAAATGTATCCTGCCCACATAAGGTTAAGGCGCAAATGAGTGCGTATATTGTATTCATGAAACCTTACACCTTACAGTTATTCGATGATATATTTCATTATAAATAATTTATGAAAACACCCGACTGTCTAAGCCAGTAGCTGTTTAATACTCCAGGTCATACATCCATTGTTATATCACAGGACTTCCTTTATTATATGACGGTTAATTATGATTTTTTCAAGTATTGTAAAAAAAAAAATATGCTTCGTTGCAGGTAAATAAAACAAACATTATTGACTTTTTGTTATACAGATAAATTTGTCGTGTCATAGTGCACTAAAATGAGCTTGGAGTATGTCATAGTATTATTTGTATACGATATATTTCATAACAACTTCAATTTACCGTCACATTGGTCTAATGGAGAGAATTTACCACTCGGTATCGTAAGTTTTATTAACAAGAAGCTATTACACATTTTCGAAAGAAAGATTCAGTTAGAACAGAATTTCTTTTATGGGTCCACAAAAACTCTTATTCGTCACCTGCGCCAGACTTACGCATGTTACAGTACTAGTGTACACTTTAAAGCAATATGAGCTGCATTTTTGAGAATTTAATTTCTCTGTTAAAATGTGTTTTCATAAATTTTCATGTAATTTGAACCTTTTTGATCAATTTGACTTAAATAAAGTATGAAATTGTTTCAGAAGAAAGATTTCTGTACAATCGAATATATGGTATTATATAAGGAATCAATATTTTACAGGACGACAATTATGTAATTCTGCTTCAACCAAAGATTAAAAATAGTTCTTCCATCGCAAATATGAACAAGAGAAGTTTAAAAACGTACTTTTTTCCTGTAATTGAAGTAGTTTATTACAATTTTGCAACAAAAATTTCCGACATCAAAGTTTCAGCTCATATTGCTTTAAATAGTATATTTTTTGTAATCGTATTAAACATGCTGAATATCAATCAAGCATTATGAAAAGAAGCATTTTTAAAATATTTCATTATATAACAGTGGCATTATATTTTGACTTCAAATTAGACACACGGATTTACAAAAGTTATTTAAAATTTAAACTTTATGACACTCTCCTCAAAGTTTCAGTGACGCACTTTAATATTCTATGGGAAACATTATCATGCCCGCGAATCAGCAAAATAAACACGGTGTGCTTTCTCCACAGTAGAATTTCCTTAACCATAAGTAGGAGACCAAAGAAAATGTCGGCATAAAAAGATAGCGATAAAAATAGAGCAGAGGTTTTAGAGCTTGTTTAATTCAGCTCCCTCAGGCTTTTCGCAAAACAAACATCATCACTCCAAATTGGGAAGACATCAAATAAGTGAATATTAAGAATTTAATTTTTTCATCAACAAGCAATAAATAAGTCTCAGTTTGCCGAGTACATATTATTATTATTATTAAATAGAGGTACAGAATAACAATTATGTCTCAAGGTTAATCATTTCACAAAGAAACTCACAGATATTAATAGCAATAAATATTGAAAATTAAGTTTTATTCGCACTTTAACATGTGCGATACCTTATATATATATTGCATTAAGGACATACGCAACATACCTTACCTACTGATTATTTTTCAAGATATTCTTAATTTAAGATTATAGTGGCATCAGATGTTCGTAGACAAAAAATCAGCATGCATTACCAGGGGTTTTGAAAAGATATCAACTGATGAAAATTCTTGTATAATTCAAAGAAAAATATACAAAAATTACTAAGGATATATTCTAGATGTTTTGTTTATCCAAACTTGTTTTAGAAGAAGTGTACAATAGCATATATAGACATTTAAATGTAGCACACAGTTCCTTTAAGTATTGGAACTCTTCAACTCCAGGGAAAAAGACAATAAAGTTCAAACTACGTTGCGTATGTCCTTAATGGAACTACGTTATGAAATAAAGCAGAAACTTAAAAATATGAATTATATATCACAGAACAGCCAGCACGTAACAAAAATAGTATACAATATCATTTAGTAAAGAAAAAAGACATTCAGGCATCATTTTTAGTTTTAGAAAAAATTCCAAAAAGCCTACTATCAATGTTTAAGCACTTACAAATTATGTAATGTATTCTTCATGAATTTTTCATTGGTCACTGAATTTCAAATTTTGTTTCTGAGATATGACAACAAATCTTAATCTCTAGATTAGAATGTGGCTTTAAAAAAAATTGCCAACAATCCCAAAGCAAACCCATTGCATCGCAGTATTTTCATTTTTAGTAAAGAACAGCTA